CTATCCAAGCTCGGCGATAATCCTCTCCTCGAAACTCTGGGTGCCCTTCAACGCGCTGCAAGTCCCATCATAGCTAAAGCTGTGGATACTGCTCCAGAGAAGAAGGAGAGAAAAAAGAGACAACATGATCCAAATGCGCCAAAGCGTCCTCTGACTCCATTCTTCCTCTATATGCAAACCGCTCGTCCTATCATCGCAAAAGACCTTGGTGATGTTCCCAAGGGAGAGGTTTCAAGTGAAGGTACAAAGAGATGGACCGACATGGCGCCTAAGGATAAAGCGGTAAGTTTTATTATCCAAGCTCTTTTTTCCATTACTAATAGTATTTCAAGCTTTGGCAAGATGCCTACAAGGATAACCTCCGTCTCTACAATGCGCGCATGCACTCCTATCGCAGAGGTAACCTTACAGCTAAGGAAATGGGTGATGATGCTGCTGCTGCGTATGCTGATGAGAACAACATTGGAGCAGATGCTTCTGCCGATGCTCAACTCGTAGGAGAAGCCACCGCCGGAGTGACAGCGACAGTTGAGGAAGAAGAAGATGCTGAAGGTGAACCTGAAGCCGAAGCCGAAGTTGAGAAATCACCAACTCCAGCTCCAAAGACGCCAAAAGCCAAGGGACGTAAATCAAAAGGCAAAGCCGATGTCGCTGAAGAAATCCCCGCTCCATCATCTGCTTCTATCGTCCCCCCTCAAAAAGAGGCAAGTCCAGCTAGAAAGCGTAAGCGCTCTGGCAAGAAGGCTGATGAGCCAGTTGTTGCTACTACTGAGCAAGAAGAAGCACCAGCAACAGTTGAAACACCCAAATCAGCACCAAAGTCTAGAAAGAAGAAGGCCAAGACTGATGCATAGATTAAGAAGATGGAATAAAGATAATCAATCATCAAAACAAATATTAAGATCTTTTTCTTTTCATAGTAAAAGATTCTAGCTACTCAGGCATGGCGTTAACGTTTGATTTCTTTCTTTGCAATTGTGTTTAGGGCGGTCTTTTTTAACACAACATGCAATTATCGCTTTGGTTTTCTCTCGCGTTTTCTTTTCCTTTTTCCTTTCCTTTTCATACACTTTTTGTCGTAGTCGAATGGTTGATGGATATGGATATGGATATGGATGCTTTGCGTGAATTCTGTTTACTTTTGATTTGATCAATGGACATGGATGGATGGACCTATGAGGTTATCGTACTTTAGCTGGTACAAGGTACAAAATGGGTAGATTGGTTGATTGATTGGTTGATTGGTTGCAAGGTATAACTTTACTTTTTGCTTGCTGTGAGTGAGTGAGTGAGTGAGTTGTGAGCTTTTGTGCGAATGGAGAGAAGATGGGACGGTAGAGCAGGGGAGGGAGGAGAGTAGATGAGAGGACAAGGGAAGGGGATAAAGTTTTGCATTGGGTAGTTAGGCAGCTAGGTAGCTTTTGATCTATCTGTGTATCTATCCATGTATGTTGCTAGTGGAGTGGAGTGGAGTGGGATGAGATGGGATGGGATGGTATGAATAAATGGCTACTTTGATATTATACCTCTTTTGATGATGATGATGATGATGATGATGATGATGATGAATGTTCTTGATATTAGTGATACTGTTGTTCTTGTGATATGTTGCTGTTGCTGTTTCTGTTTCTATTTCTATATGAGGTGTGAGATGTAGCTGTAGCTGTTTCTATTTCTATTTCTATTTCTACTTCTGTATGAGATGTGAGATGTGAGATGTGAGATGAGATGTGGAAATAAACAATGAGTATGTATGTATGTATGTATGTATTTAAAACTATTTTTCGCGGAGGAAATGGGATGTGATATGTTGCGATGTGATATGTTGTGATGTGATGGTATGGAGTATGGAGTATGGAGTATGGAGTATGGAGTATGGAGTATGGAGTATGGAGTATGAGTATGGAGTATGGAGTATGGAGTATGGAGTAGGGAGTAGGGAGAATTAGTGAGTGGGTGAATGGGTAGTGAATGGGTGAGTAGGTAGGTAGGTAGGTAGGTAGGTAGGTAGGTAGGTAGTCTTGGAGGGGGATAGATAGATAGATAGATTTGTTGTGTGTTTGTATGTTTGGTAGAGTGTTGGGCTGGAGATAGGGGGTGGAGGATAGGGATGAAGAGAGCAGAGAAGCTGGTTCGGGATGTGAAAAAGATACTTGTTTGCTTGGAAAGAATTGAGTTGAGAAAGGGGTGGAAGGAGAGGGGAGAGGGAGAGGGAGAGGGAGAGGGAGAGGGAGAGAGAGGAAAAGGCTGTGGGGAATAAGCTGGGAATGAGCTGGGGATTGGATGGAGGGATGGGATGGATGGGAAGGAGGGAGAAGGAGAAGGAGAAGGTTTAGAGAATTGGGATTGGATTGGATTGGATTGGATCTGTGAGGTTTGTTATGTTTATCGGATTGGATTTATTGGGTTTGGAATGATGGGGGATGATAGGGAATGATTCTGACAGCTTGGAGAGTTTGGGCTTGAAGGATTGAGAGTTGAATTTGGAGAGTTGAATTTGGAGAGTTGAAGGATGGAGAGTTGAAGGATGGAGAGTTGAATGATAGAGAGTTTGGGATGGGGGAGTGGAGAGAAGAAGGGGTTGTGGTTTGGTTTGTGGTTTGTGGGAGAGGTGGAGTGGTTGTGCTGATGGTTGAGGGAATGGGCTTGAGTAGATGGGGGTGAGTAGATGGGGTGAGTAGATGGGGGTGAGTAGATGGGGGTGAGTAGATGGGGGTGAGTAGATGGGGGTGAGTAGATGGGGGTGAGTAGATGAGTAGATGAGTTGATATGATATGGATATTAAGAAAGTATTTATATTGATATAGAAAAGGCAATAAATATTTTGAGATTCATAGAGTTTGTAGGTTATAATAGGGGAGGGAGATGGAGAGATGGCTGGCTATACATGATAAGAATATCAGATTGAGATGTCAGATTGAGATTTTGAGGGGTTGTTTATACAATCTATGGATAGAATTTTATATGATTTGAGTATAGGAATATAGGAGGTTAGAGGTTTGAAGCGAACTAAAGAAATGAGGAGGGGATGAGGAGGAGGAGGGGAGGAGATAGGTAGGTAGTAGAGAGAGGATTTTATTGTGATGTTATTGCGATATTATTGCGATATTATTGAGATATTATTGCGATGTTATTGCGATGTTATGGTGAGAGAAAGAGGAGGATAGAGAAGAGGAGGAGAAAATATAAGCCCATCATTCAAAAGATTTAGAATACATATTTCCCTTAAGTAAGAGATATTGTTCTTGGGATGTGTAGGGAGTATTTGTAGGTATAGTATTTATGTATAGATAGATAGTAGGTAGTAGAGAGTAGACAAATAGTAAGCGAATATATACAATGTAATTCCATCAAATTTGTATATTCTAGATGAATAAGTTAAGTTGTTACTATTAGGTATCTGAAGGTCTTAAGGTACTAAATAGTGAGGTGTTATTTAAATAGTAGATAGTAGATAGTAAATACTAGTTAATATTCAAAATGTATATATAGAGGTACCTACATAAACCCCACACACCCCTATCCCAAACCCAGATACGCGAAAGAAGACTAGCTATAGATCGATCGAGTCTAAACTTTAATATGGATGCGAGACATAAGGTTACGACGTGGGAGAGATTTCTCGGGATTGCCGATGTTCGGTATCGTATATGGGTTTATGTAAGATTACCTCGGTATGTATGGGAAGGTGGTTTTTGATGAAGGGAGGGGGTGAGGTATGGGTATGGGGATGGGGATGGGGATGGATAGATGGATGGATGGATGAGGGAGAGGGGAAGGGGAAGGGTTGGATGCTTGAAGTGGTATTGTACGAAAGGATTGATGGGGTTAGAGTAACATTGTGATTGAAATAAATGAAGAATTCTCGAGGGAACTCTGGAGAGGATTTCTTGGGTTCTTGGGGTTCTTGGGGGTTTTGGAGAAGGAATTATGTGCAGGTTGGTATGGATGGATGAAGGTATGGATGAAGGTAGCATCGCAGTGCAGTATATAAGAAATTCAGTACCTTTTATATGCCGCTCCCTGTCCTCTTTAGATTTAGCTACTGAGTCGCATATGACATTACCACTCTACATACAGTAAACGTCTCTCTTACCTATGAGTATTCCTTCAGCCTCAAAACCAATTCTCGAGTCTCGGGCCGTTTTCAAACGGATCAGATCTAATCGTAATAAATCATCAATTTCATCAGTCGTCATTCGTTGGTCGTTACTCATAAATGAAATTCTATTCATTCAACAATCAAGTGCTCACAATAATTCTGTTGCCTGCAATACCACGATACACTACAAACAACCCAAGAAACCCTACCGCGGAGCATTCCCCAAAAAACTGTCAAAACCCCTACAAAACTAACACGGAAGATATTTTAATCCACGATATAGTGGATTATATATCACAGAAGAGCCTATAACAAACCACCAATTTACAGCTTCATCCTTTCAGGGGTTTATCGTGGCGCTGTTTTGTTTTCAATGCACGCTAAAAGATATCAGTAGCCAATTAGATTGAGTGGAGAGATGAAATCGCCCCGTTGTTTCCAAAGCTTTTTGATCCTGAGGAGTAATTTATTTTCCGCTCGTGGGAGCGATAGGGATGTGTGTATGTGTGTGTGATTGAATCTCATACGACGTATGAAGGGAGTTGGAGGGAAAATGGGAAAGGAAATTGAAATGGATAACTCGGCCGATAGGGATGGGTAGGGAGGATGAACTGTCCGCGAGAGAGGCTCTAGGATCCTTCTTTCATTCGAGATTTGGTTCGAGGTTGGTATATATATGTTATGTATCTTTCTTTGCTTATTCTCAGAGCCTCTTTCTTAATTATCAATCTGTCAGGATACGGGTTTTGATACACATTCTTTTGTTGAAGTTCTGTTCGTCGTTGTTTGAATTTGGTTTTGGGGATATTCCTCTGGAATAGTTTCTTCATACATTCTTTTACAATAAAGTATCTTTCCTCGTTAACATTCTTTCTAAGCTGTTGTTTTTATTGCAATCATGCATCTATCAGTCCTTACCATTTTAGCTTCTTCAAGCCTTATCTCTGCAAGACATCTACCTCTACACTCACTTCAATCTGTTCGCAATGCAGGATTATTTGGTTGGTCTGTCCAGGCTTCTACTTGTCCGACAGGCAGCACATCTTGTGGAGATACGGCGGCTGGTGCATGTTGTCCTTCGGGAATGTTTTGTGCTACACCTGCGAATTCGGAGGTTGCAGCTTGTTGTCCTTTTGGTATGATATCTTTATTCTTTCTTTTTGTTTTTCTCGCCGAGAGTTCGATTCAAATCCAACAAATCTAATACCCAGTAGCGGGAGAATGCAGGAGTGTAATTGAAGCAGCACCCAAATGTGCAGATGCCTCCTGGAATCTATGGGATGGATTGGATGGAAATGCTTTTTGTTGTGAAGCGGGACTTTTGGGAGCTTATGATCATATTTCTCACCGCGCGGGAACGTGTGTGGAGACTGTTGTGAAGCCTACTACTTCGGCGGTTTTGGTAAGTGGAGGTTATCTTGTGGTTTGCTTTGAATGGGAGATATTGATATTTCTGTAGAGATCAACTGGAACAGGTTGTGCGGCAACATCTTCCGTCGTTGCTACTACGAGCGCTATCTCGACTACTATTACTTCGATTCAGAAAACATCTACAGTTGTTTCAGTGAAGAGCACCATTACTTCAGACGCTAATACTTCTGCTTCTACTTCTACTTCTGCTTCTAGTTCCGGTAATTCACTCTCGTTATCCTTTCCCTCATGTTTCATTCATCGAGTACTGATCTACGTTTGAAATTTTAGCCAGGATTGTTGGTGAAAATGATTTAGCTGTGGCTGCGCCTGCTACAAAAGCCTCATATTCCAAGGCAACATCATCAACCAGTTCTAAGGTTGCATCAAGTGTAGTTGCAACCTCAAAATCTGCATCTACATCTGCGATCGCAACTGCAGCCGCAGCGCCTACCGGAAAACCTGTGTAAGTATCACATCTAGTCATGCATTAGCAATCATCTAATCTCTGTTAGCTTCTTTCACTACATGATAGGAGGAATCAATGATACTCATTGTGAGCAAGATATTATTGATGCTGTTGCATTGGGAGTCGATGCGTTTGCTCTCAATTTAGCCGTAACATTAGATTCTAGCCATTCATGGGCATTGAACGCTGTCAACTCCCTCTTTAAGCATGCTCAAACTCATAACTTTAAACTCTTGTACTTATCACTCTTCCCACAAATAAAAGATCAACTAACTCTTACCTAGTTTCTCCTTCGATATGACCGGATTCAACTCTCCTTCCCAATTCATCCCTATCCTCAAAACATACGTCACAAACAGCGCATACTATACCTATTCTGGACAACCCTTCGTCTCGACCTTCAACGGGGGCGCTTCATCTTTTACATTCGGTCAAGGCAGCGTAAACGACGGCTGGAAAAACGAAGTCCAAGCAGTCATGGCCGCAGCCGGTCATCCCATCTACCTGATCCCCTCCTTCCAAGACGTAGCCGCCACATCATCCTTCTTCACCAAATACCCAACATTAAACGGAACATTCAATTGGAATTCCTGGCCCACCTATTCCGCCGGCGACTCCCCCGTCGACACCATCGACGACAGCATCTATCAAAAAGCCGCCCAAGCCGCCGGAAAAGGATTCATGATGGGTATTTCCCCCCTACAATTCAAACACATCGACAGCACGCAAAACTGGTATCGCCGCGGCGAAGCCAATCTCGAAGTGCGCTTCGCTCAAGTGCTCTCCGCACAGCCCGATTTCATCGAATTCCAAACGTGGAACGATGCGGGCGAATCGCACTACATGGGGAATACGTGGCGGGAACCGCTGGTTTCGGATACGACGCCCGAGGCCCTCTCGAGTATCGCGTACGATCACACGGGGTATTGGCAGATTCTCCAGAGTTTTATTAAGGTGTGGAAGGCGGGGAAGACGAGCACGCAGACCATGTATCCGACGAATGGGAAGGATGCCCAGGGCACGTTTTGGCATCATACGTTGTTGAAGAATGGAGATTGTGCGGCGGATTCGTTGGGGTTGGGGAAACCGGTGGGGATTGGCGGTGTGGAGGATAGTGTTACGGCAGTGGTGTTGGTGGCCAGTGGGGTGCAGGGGTTGAAGGGGAGTATTAGTGTGGGGGGGAAGGTGTTGGGGACGAAGAGTTTCGAGCCGGGTTTTAATACCATGGTTGTGTCGAATATTACGACCGGCGCGGTGAGCATGAGTGTGACGAATGCGGCGGGGACGGTGGTGGTGAGTGGGAAGGGTCCGTTGGAGGTGGTGAATAAGGCGAATTTGTGTAACTATAACTTCCAGGTTGTAGGATTGAGTTAGAAGTGTAGAGAGAGGGTGTAGGGATTCCGAAAAGGAAAGGTTCGGGATGAGGTGAGCGGTACAGTGGATTTAAGCGAGAGGGAGGAAGACATTTTTTTCATTCATGTATCATTTGGATATCCATCTATTTAGAGGTTATCATTCTTCGAGGATTGTAAAAATTTACAATCCCGCACGCAATTTATAAACTATCTTGTATCATTTTCAGCTACGAACCTTTTGTAATATTTGCTATAACTACTTATTTATTAGAGAGTGTAAAGAAGCTCGAGTATCTGAAACCATTCCATCCACTTCATCCATTTCATCCATCTTATACAACAACACATCCATCCACCAATCCATTCAACGTTTCAATCTATATACGCCACTCACCTCACACCTCCCCTCCTCTCTCTACCCCCTCAACCCCCTAATCCTCTCCTTCAAACTAACCTTCTCCTTCTCTTCCGTCTCAAACCCACTCTTCTCCATATCATTAAACCCCACACTCGCACTCGCACTGCCACTCCCACCCTTCTTCCCCTTCATCCACTTCTCCAACCTCATTTTCACCGCCACCACCGTCGTCCCCGTGGTAAACAAACTCGCCGCATTCATCGCCGCCCCAATCAACACCTGATCCGGCAATCTAACCGTACACAGACTAATCCTCTGAATATCCACAAAACCCGTTACAAACGCCGCGTTTGCCGCAGCCAACAAAACACTCAGCACGATTCCCCTCAACAGTTTCAATTTCTCGATTCCGGGGAGAAATTTCATTTCCAGCACAAACGCCACAATCGTTAAAACGAGCACAGCGAATCCGAGGAGTCCGTGGAATGTGGTGCCGTGGGATGCGGAGCCGAGGAGAAGGATCCCGAGAATGCCGCCGCCGAGAGAGAGAGGCAGAACGGCGAAGATCCAAATGCGGAAACGGGTCTTGGGGGCGGAAGCCCAGATGTGGGGGAGGGAGAGCATGGTTGCGATTTCGTGGCCGGAGGTGAGGAGGAGAGCGAGGGGGATGGCGAGGAAATAGGCGAGGATGAGGAGGAATGCTAATGGGGGTTAGATTTATATTATCACAAAAAAAGAAGAAAAAAGGAAAGAAAATTAGGGAAAGAAGGGAAAAAATACATACCATGCGCCACAATCAAAATCGTCAACCGACTAATCCCAATCCCATTCACCAAAATCACCTGCGTCGCCGGATTAATCAAAAATTCATTTCCCTGACTCGCAACTGTGAATGTCGCATTAGGTAACATGACGCTTCCCCCCGTGGCCGGAATACTCCCACTCGCTTTGAGTCCCTGGAAAATCTCGACAAAACCGCCGATGCCCTGGCATGTAAGCGTATCGACGCCTTTTTGTAAAAGTACATCAAGAGAGGTGACGTTGACGCCGGTGAGGAGACCGCTGGTGATATCGGAGATGTTGAGATTTGTGGGGTCGTCGACGCGTTTGTGGAGGTTGGGGAATGGGGATATTAGGGGTGCGGATTTGCGGATGATAGAGGAGAAGGATCTATAGGAACGGGCTCGAATGGCTGGAGTGGAGAGATTATTTGCGGGTGTTTCTGGGGAGGAGAGAGATGCGGGTGTCGTGGAGTTGTTTTCCATAGTGCTTGGAGTTAATATGCCGTTGGAAGATAGTGACATACTCATTCCCAACATTTGCGCAATCAATGTCACACCCTGACCACCCAGTCCCTGACCAAAAGATGTTGCTACTCCCCCCGTCGTATCATTGAAATCATCCGATTTGAAAATAGGTGTTGCGGCTTGCATCATTACATCAGATGAATTGGCTCCATTGAGAATGGCCTGAAAACCTCCCATATTCGCTACACTTTGACCTGCACCATCGACAAGACCTCTTGCGAGACCCTCAGCTGCTTTCGAAACTGAAACTTTTTGTAGTGCCGACATCATTGTCCCAGAAGAAGAATTCGACCCTCCACCAAGAAGTGCAGCTGCTTTTGCTTGAAGACGCGAAACCGTACCATTAGCAAGAAAATTACTCGTAAGACCATAAGAGAAATCTCTCGCAACCATCGCTACATCTCCACCCATTGGACTCTGCGCCGTCGAAGGATCCTGTAAGCCCAGACCCACCGCCGCACCCTGTCCAATACCACTACCCGCTCCTTGCGCTGCCGGACCCAGCATTGCAGATATATTAGTCATAGACATCGCACTCATAAGTTTCGATTGCAACGACGAGAGAGTTCCATTCGCGAGGAAACTAGTCGTGAGTTCGTATGCAAAATTATGAGCCACTTCTGGCGCCGCAGCATCAGCTCCAGTACTAGGAGCCACAGCTGCATTCGAAAGTCCGAGACCTTGTGCTGCGCCGGCACCCAATCCAGATCCAGCTCCCACAAGAGTAGGTCCAACCATACTGGTAAGATTGGATCCGGACATGGCTTGGGAAGTCAATTTCTTGACATCGACGGCGCCAAGGAAAGAACTTGAGAGTGATTTGGTGAATCCATATGCAATCTCATTAACGTTAAGACCTGAACCTGTCGTGTTGGTTCCTGCAGCTGCGGCGGCAGCTCTCTTGAGCCGCATCCTCATAGTAGCCATGTTCATTGGTAAATCAAGACCCTCTGCAGCACCTTCTCCCAATCCTATAACAATGTTAGCATGATTCTGCCCAAAGTATTCGATAGTCCAGACTGCAATCCACAGCATGGAATCTTTGGAATATTCGACTCATTTCAGATAGCGAAATAGCTTCAATCGTTGTACTAATCCAAAATAATGAATATAGACGACTGAGAATAGCATTTTCATAATCTCAAAATCAAAATCTGAAACTTGACTGCAGTCCAGACCATCCGAACCACCGATTCTATCATTAAAAAAAACATACCTTTCCCAGCATTAACAACCGCAGATTGCAACATCCCACTTGGCAAACCCGTCATCAATTTCGACATATCGATATTCGAGAAGAGCGATTGAGTAAGCCCATTTCCGAGATTACCAGCAATCAAAGGGATACCAGTTCCATTAGGCGCAGCAACAGCTGATTTATTAAGACCCAATCCGCTAGCAGTTCCTCCTCCAAGACCAGTGCCTAGAGCGGAAGAAGCAGCTCCTGCACCAGTGAGGAATGATGATGTGTCTAAAGTTCCCGTGAGAGCATTGGAAGCTCTATGATATCAGTCAGCAAATTGTATTGGGATGAATTTGATATCTTCTGTTCAAAGAGTGCTTACCCGAATCCTAAATTTGCTGCAATAGCGTTGACACCAGATGGCTTTTCTGCAGTAGTTTGCTTGACTCCATTGTTAATTTTGAGACCAGTCGTAGCACCTCTTCCAACACCATCACCCAAAAATCCTGCCGGGGTGGCCAAAGAATCAGCAGTAACATCAAGAAGTTTTCCACCGAGTGTCTCAAAGATCCCTGCGAGACCACCTCCTCCCGTAGCCGCTTTTGCTCCACCAGCTCCCGCTGCCCCTCCCGCTCCTCCTGCCGCACCGCCTGTCAATATTGAAGCAAAGCCATCGAAAAGTCCTCGAGTTTTCAAATTGTTCCCGCTCTGTGCTTGATGTGTATCCACAGCCAACTTATGCAAATCATTGCTAAGAGCTTGTAAAGAAGTAAGATGATGTTGTGCGCTTACAGCACCCAAAATATCCGCCGCCGCCTTGAGTACTGATGCGATATCCTCTCCTCCTTGCAATTGTCCGATGTCTACAGTTTCGAGAGAAGCGATGCTAGAAGAAAACTGTGAGGTAGGATGATTATCGGTATGAAGAAATGATCGAGCATGATATATTCCCCATGGTAAGAGAGATAAAGTATTAAAGAATAGTAATAAAGAAGCGAAAATTACAAAAAGATTCCGCGTCCAGACGCGTTGCTGTGGTATATGATCAACATTCCCCATGATTAAATAAATGCAATATAGATCAAGTCACCATGACTTTCTGAAGAAAGCAGAAGGAAAAAATAATTTTCAGATAGGGTGAGAAAGTGAGGATGCCCGTTGTAATAAAATTGTCTTGACTAGATCCGCTGTGACTAGAGCTTGGATGGGGGCTGAAACGAAGATTGTTCAAGGACCAAGGGGGTAAGGGGAACTAAATAACATGTAACTAGAAGTATGGCAGGTTGACTAATAAAGTTGAATGAACTATATCGTCTTATTGGCCTGACTATGTATCGAGTTGGTTTCTGCTAAAAGTTGAGTAAGGGGCAGTATTTTTCAGTCTCACCCAGAACATATAGATGAGATCTGCTTATGGAATACTGGCTGATTCTAGCTGTGTTTTCACAAGATTATAAGTTGACGGGAACAGACTTCTATTCCTACTGTTCTTATAAGATATTTCAGCCATTGAGCTTGTCTCAATACACTCCAGTCATGAATACGCATGCAATCGATTGCCGTTCACAATCTTACACAAGATGGAAATTTTCTTCACACAGGCATCAATTCCGTTAAACATGTCAGCGTTGATTAAAGTTCCGACAGTATGTAATTAATTCCTCCGCGTGGATATACTCTATACACTTTTCTTTCAGTTAGTGTTTTGCAACGTCCCCAGAAGGTTCTCACAATAGCGAGAACAAAACGAACAAAGCTCAAGCTTTAATACGAGAATTGATAGACTCTTTATCGGTAGGCGTCTAACAATAAATTGTTTCGATTTATGATGAAGTACGTGCCCTGGCACGGTTGGAGCATGAATCATAATTTGCTTCACCATTTGTTTCATTCGGATAGCTCGGTACTCCGCTTTTGGTGACATCTGGGATTTTGAATGCAGGGATTGTTGTTAGAAGTTATTTGAATGCGGGTTACGGGTAGTCATGTCTACCGGCATCCGGAACTGCGATAAGGTGTTTTGTGGGCCATGGAAAAAACGAATGTCGGCATTTGCAGTTTCCACAAGTGCGTGTGCGTGCTTGAAGATGCGAGCAAGAATTCGGAAGTCCTTGTTAGCCGAAGATTTTGCATCGACCGACCCTTAGTTGATGTAATATATACAGTGATTG